TAGTCACACAACTTTGCATCTGGAAACAGGGTTTAGAACTATGAAAATGCCCCCTACTCTCAATAGTTGATATTAGGTTATTTATTTCTCTTTGTTCTGAAACATGTTTTAAAAAACAGCAACTCTAAAGAAAGGAAGAGTGAGAGGAGAGAGAAACAGGGAGACACAGACAGAGTCAGACACAGAGATACAGAGATCCAGCCAGCTGTACATAAGATTCCCTACATTACAATTACAGATATACTAATTAATTAATTAGTATAATTTAATTAATTAAACAGATATACTAATTGATTAATGGAGTCATTAATTCATAAAACATTAATGCAGCAACTGAAGTTAATTTAGAAACATCTTATCTTTGTCCTAGAAAAGGTTAGTTTTTCTTCAGATAGGTTTATGTTGTTGGAATTTTCTTCCTTTTAGAATAGACATTACTGTCCAAAGCGCCTTTAGAGATGCACGTCTTAATTTACTGTTCCCTAGTATTAGGATAAATGAATGGCTTGAGGGGTAGATTAGAGCTATAAACTCACCAAAAATCACAGCTAATTCCGTCTCTGGAATAAAGTAGCTGGAGGTGGCGATGAGAAAGGACAAATAGTAGGCAATAAAGAGGAAAAGGAAGGAAATGACAGCTTTCAGGGCTCTCACATGGGCTTCTGTGCTGGGGTCTCTGCACCCTGTGGCACTGAGCTGCATTCGCCTGATATGTCTCCGCAGGGAGAGGATCAAGAGGAAAAATGACATCAGGCACACAGAAAAGGGGAGCAGCGTTACCAGGTTGAGAAATAACTTGGTAGAAGCATGTTGAGCCTTATTTACTCTGCAACTCCAAGTTAAGTTTGTTTTCCTCTTTGCCTTCACACAACGCCTGAAATCAGCATTCAAATTCTCAGTGGCTGGAAGGTTAATAAACACAGAGAGAACCATGCACCCCAATAGAATCCAGGAAATCACCCTGTCAATTCTCCACTTCATCCAGAGGAAAAGTGGGTGAAAGAAATTAGCTATCTTGAAGAAATAGTAAATGCTGAGGCAGGTTGCAAACCAGATGCTTAAATGGTTGGTTAGTGTCCAGAAGAAGTCAATGATTCTCATTTGTTTACCAGTGGCATAGACATCTGGATACAGCACCAACATACAACAATCTAATAGTATTACACATAATAGACAAATTCTGGAAATGGCCAGACTTGTGAGGATTAAATCAATGGAGGCAATTTTCCTCTTCTTGACCCAGTCCATGCAGTTTACCAATCCAATGAACGCATTCCCTAAGATCCCCACTGAAAACTCTCCAATTGCTAAGAATAGTAAAGTAGTCTGTACTTTATCTGTCATGTTTAAATAGAGAAATATGCAATTAGTTTCTAGCTGACCTGATGGAGTTTGACATCCACACCTGCTTCTTAGATTTTGATGTAGTTTTCAACTCTTTGTTGTAGTCTGTCTTGTGATGGAGACTGGAATGATAAATGAAGACTGGAGCTATCTTCATTAAATCCTAATTAGTCTTGACAAACAATGTGGTTAGTGATCCTTGGTCTGGCCACTGTATGCCCATTTACCTACTCAGTAGGTGGTAATTTTCCACATATGGTTAATTTAGGCTGAGCTACTTTACTAAGATGCAAATTCAGTCAATTCCTTTCATGGTCCTGCATTGTCTTTCTGAGGCTAAGGTGTGCGCATTTTGGATTCGTTAATTTGTTATGTATATTAGTAACCTCAATAGGGTTTCTAGATTTAGAAACTAAAAATTCAGGACACCCAGTTAAACTTGAATTACAGGTAAGAAAATGAATAATTTTTTAGTGTGTGTCCCAAATTACTTAAGATCAGTGCTTTCAGGAAGTACTGAAGTTCAAATTTGAGTGCTCCATTCTGGCAACCTAAACATCAATAATTTGGTAGCAAGTATAAAACTAGCAAAAATGGAAATTTCTTGAAGAATTTTTATTTTCCTGAATGTTAATATTGATAATTAGTCAAGAATCCAAAATTTGGTTCCATAGTGAAAGTTACATATTTTCAGGAAATTTAAAAAGTTAACACTAAATATAGATTATTTGATTCCAAATAAACTTTAGGTCATTATTTTGGCCATTCAGATGAACAGTTACATGGCATAGTGTCTCTTTAATACAACACATTGTCTTATTGACCAAGTGACATTTGATGGTTACTTAACAATGTTATATATAATAAGGTAGAGGACCTATAATAAAAAAAGCTATTGATTATCTTTAAATGTTTCATTTTCTCTTAAAATGTTCTCAAGAAAACAAGGTAATGTCTGTTACCTTGTTTGTGGTGATGATATCATGGGTCTTTGAAATTGTATACATTAAATATATGCAGTTCTTTTTATTGATTATCTTTAAATTTTTCATTTTCTCTTAAAATGTTCTCAAGAAAACAAGGTAATGTCTGTTACCTTGTTTGTGATGATGATATCATAGGTCTTTGAAATTGTATACATTAAATATATGCAGTTCTTTATGGGTCTTTGAAATTGTATACATTAAATATATGCAGTTCTTTTTATATCAATTATACTTTTATAAAGATTTAGAAAAAATTTAAAAAATGTTCTCAAGGGTAGTTGTATGCATGACAGGGAAGACAGTAAAATTCTGTATTTCATTCTTTCCACATTCCTCTATACAAACTGCATGAGTATCTAGATCCTCAACCCTTCTAGCAGCAGACTGAAGGTTAAACTTTCCACATCTCTAGAGATGTATTCTTAGTTTGAAATAGCTTCTCTACTTTAGAGTTACTGAGAAGTGCTTTACTACATGATGTTTCTATAGACTAGTTTTTGGGTACTCACATCTTCCTAGGAACGCATGTCTTCTCTTATCCTTCCTTAAAGGACAAACCTTCATTCCAGAGATGTAGCCTTAATTTTGGACAGTCTGCATGATTATGTCGCCATGTTCACAGAAAACTGGAACATCACCTGTGATAGGATGACCTTGGAAATGATCCCTGACCTAGACTCATCATTTCTTTTTACTTATTTATTTATTTATTTATTTATTTATTTTTATTTTTGAGACAGAGTTTCGCTCTTGTTGCTCAGGCTGGAGTGCAATTTCGGCTGACCGCAACCTCCACCTCCCAGGTTCAAGCGATTCTCCTGCCTCAGCCTCCCAAGTAGCTGGTATTACAAGCATGTGCCACCATGCTTGGCTAATTTTGTATCTTTAGTAGAGACGGGGTTTATCCATGTTCGTCAGGCTGGTTTTGAACTCCCGACCTCAGGTGATCTGCCATCCTCAGCCTCCCAGAGTGCTGGGATTACAGGTGTGAGCCACTGTGCTTGGCCTAGACTCATCATTTCTATCCCACAGTGTATCCTGGTAAATGAAGTGCTCACAGGAACTATGATGACATATTTGCCCAAATTATTTTTAGACTTTTGTTTTGTTTGGTTTTGGAAACAAATGTAGATCTTATGCATACCAATGTTGTATAGCATTAAGTTATGTGACTATATAGTTAAGAAAAAAAGTTCTACAAGACAGCATTTTGTCAAAAGCTTACTACTTTGAACCCCAGTCACTGTGGTCACTGGAGATGTTTGAAACATTGGAGAGGCAAGAAACAAAATATGGAAGAAAAAAAACTTAAGCCTAATGGGGTAAAACCTTCTCAAAAGTACTAATTCAATAAAACATTTATTTCATCTAAACATTTAGAAAAATATAAAGTTTATCCTAGTATAAAATCTACAGGTATTTTGTAGAAAATAATGTTCCATCAAGAGAACATGAATTCTTCCATCTTGTACAATAAAGAGTAACATAAACAGCTAGCATGTTAAAAATACAGTTCATAAATTTATATACTTAGGGCTATAAATATTAGTAATATACAGAGTGAGTTTTGCATAATAATACAATTGATAATTTTCAGGTAAGTAGTATTTTAGTTACAGTAAAAGGAAATTAGTAGATTGAAATGCATCAGAATTAAACATAGAAAGTAATGGGAGTAAAAGCGACAATGTACAGCCATGTGAGAACGTACACAACCTGAGATATGCCAGACCAAACGTTTCAATAATATTATAGTGAGGATGGATTTCATGTTCACAGAAAAATTAAAAATTTTAGTTACTTATTTTCCTTCTTTTTAAATAAAAATTATTCTGTATTTTTTGTAAACATTTGTTGCTTATTCCAGTGACGGTATGTGCTTATTCCATGGTATATGCTAATTTCTTCCCAATTCATTTCTTTTAAGTCCTGAGTGAAAACCTTTGCAGGGTCTGGCTAGAGAAAAGAACCTGAGTGGGCAGTCTGACTGATATTTGTTATCCCCATTCTTTAATCCAGATTGTGAAGAGGGTTTAGGAACACCCCTTAGGGGGTCGTACTTGAATGGGTTTGATTCCCACCCAGGTGCTCCATGAAAAGCAAATTGTTTGAGAGGAAATTTAATCTCAAGGAAAATAAATAGCATCAGAACAAGGTTAATCAGAAAATATTATCTAGGAGACCACAGAAAGCATCATTCAGGAAAACCAAAGACCAGAGAAGATCTGAGTTTCTAGTCAATAAGCCAAATGGGAGTGACTCAGCAGAGCCACGAAAGGACCACAGTTAAGGAGCGGCAATAAAAATGTATGACAGAGAAAAATGAGAAATCAGGTACTGTAGCTCAGGTTGACTTTACCATGAGCCAGAGTAAAATCTAAAAAGATTTTAACCGGGCAATACATGCCTAACATTTGCAGTGAGGAGACAAGAAGAGAACCATGAGCTCTGAAATTCTTCGAGGAAAGGGAGTGTAAAGATGAGCATTTCTGGGTTGTAAAGAGATACAAAAGATGTATTCATTAGTTTGCTACTAGGTCCTGATAATACTTAAAGATATGCATCTAAAATAAATGACATAACTGGGGAAAATGAGAATAGACTTATAAGAAAATTATATTTTTTGTTAGTGAATATTTGATTTTAAATTCAATTTATACAACAAAGATTTCATATCACGCAGGCAATTTTTCTACATGTCAGTATTCTGACAGATGCCTGCCTCAGTTTGTTACTTAAAATAATTAAAATAAGTGAGTGACCCGAGGGATAGAGAATTGCTACAATCTCTCCAAACATCATAGCTAACTTGTAGTTTGTAATAAGATAGCTAAAGGACACCAAAAGAGAAGTAATATAGTATAGGAAAAAAAAGAAGATAAATGAAGTCATAGTTTTAATGGCTCTCACATGAGCTTCTGTGCTCGGGTCTCTACCGCTGGTAGCATAGAGTTTTATTTGCTTGGTATGTCTCCATAAAGATCTTACTAAAAGGAAAAATGAAAACAACGACACAATAAATGGGACAATTGCAAGCAGGTTAAAGAGAGTCAAGGGTTCAAAATACGGCATTTTACTCACATGGAACATTTCAGTAACGTTTCTTTTATGTTTGGCAATTGCATGAATCCTATAATCATGACTCAGTACTATTGCTATTATAAGGCTGACCAACAAGGAAATGGCAAAACATCCCAGCAGGATCCAGCGAACCACCATATCAATTTTCTGCTTCAGCCAGAGAAAAAGTGGGTGAGAGGAATTGGCTACCTTAAGAAAATAGAAGACATTAAGGCAGGTGGTAAACCACATATTTAAGTAGTTGGCAAATGTCCAGAAGGTACAAATGACTATCTGTAGTTTACTTTTTGTATAAACATCTGGGTAAAGTACTATTACAATGCCATTTACAACCATTACACTGATCAAACAAATTCTGGAGATAACTAAATTGGTGAGGATGCAGTCAATTGTGGAGATCTTTTTCTTCTTAATCCAGTCAATCCAGTTGACTAGTCCAATGTATCCATTCCCCAATATTCCTATTATGAATTCTCCAGTTATTAGGATTATAAAGATGTTATCTGCAGGACTGAACATGTTTGTAGAGAGAACAATCTGATGTCAAATATCACCATAGATGAGCTAATTTACAGGTGATCTGTTGAAGCATGATAAATTCTTCGAATCATGCAATAATGTATTCATCTGCTATTATTTTGACTTTGTTATCATTCCAGAAGTGTTCAGCTCTCCCCTGAAATAGGATTGTCTCTACATTCCTGAAGAAGAAACCAACTAATTGCTCCAAATGAGCAGCTTGACTACTTATAGCCTGGAAAAATTATAATTGTTACTTTCAGTGAGTGATAACTGACATGCTTGGCTGAAATTGCTCTCATGCAAATTCAAAGAGATTTTATATCACGAATTTGCAACAGGCTTCTTGCTGCAGCTCTATATTTGGACCTTCAAACTGAGTTTTGAATAGGGAGTCACAAAAAAAGAGATAAATGTTTAATAAATATCCAACTGTGTAATTAAAACTTCATTTTCATCATGTAAGTAATAAATAAGCCACAAATCAGTTCTCCCAGACGCAAACAAATTTTCACTTTGGAAGTAATTAGTACAATTAGATTGTAGATAACATTTAGTCAGAGGATAATAATTCTTGTCTTCATTTAAATGGCTAATTAGGGAAGGATATGATACAAATCTAATTATAAATGACATTTATTTTAGGCAGGCACATGGCAATATTTATGAAGAATTTGCTTTCTTTTCAGTTGTTCCTTAGAAGTGAAATATGCCAGGTAAAGATTTGTTATCTTTATTTTCTTTAATGTGAGAAATACCCTTGAAGACAATTCACTTCCTGAAACATTGTCTCTTGTATAATAAGCATTGTAATCTAAAATTAGGGAAATTTAAGTTTTACATTATTCTAGTTCCAATCAGCTCCTTTTACAAGATTTGTAATCTCACAGTGCATATTATAGTCATATTTCTAGATAGGGCAAACACATGAAAAAGTAACTACTCGGCAGACTGAGGCAGGGCGATCACTTGAATGCGGAGGTGGAGGTTGCAGTGAGCCGAGATGGCGCCACTGCACTCCAGCCTGGGTGACACAGTGAGACTCCGTCTCAAAATAATAATAATAATAATAATAATTTTTTTACCTGCCAATATTTCCAAAGAATAGGACTAATCTACTATTAAATTGAATTTATTTGTTTCGGGGTGAGGGAGAGTACAACTTAGCCCCAAATACATTTAAATGTAGGTAATAAAAAATCACAATACACTAGGGATCTTCTTGTATTTAAGTAGTTCTACAATGTGTGCAACACATGCAGGATTTTTCTATTTCTTACACGTGTGTAATGTGTAACAGGAAAGCATAAACTTAATAACTTAAAGAAACCTAGTTATCCATAAAATATTGCTGGAAACAAAATAGAAAATAAAATGATGCAGAGGGAGAAGAACATGTCAGAGATTTCTGAGTTAGAAGGCTAGAGAGAACATTCCAAAAACTATTGGGGAACTGACTTCTAAGATTGCCATCACCAGCTACAGTACTTATGAACAAGCTGACTACTGGCACCCTCAACCTTCTTTCTCAAGGTGGTTCTTATACATAGCTGTGCCTCCTCTCCTGGTCAAACCTTCATTCTTGAGATCATACTCCTTTTCCCACATCATATATTGTCCTACACAGAGCCTCATTAAAGACTGTTTTTCTCCCTTCTTGATCAAGACAAACTCTTCCAGAAATGGAGGGGATAGGGCAGTGAAGATAAGGACCAGTCTTCATTTCAAAGTAGAGCGTCGTTTTGCATGATTGATTTTATAGAAAGGGTTGATGAGTTCTAAAATCTTTTTCCCAAAGCCCATTTGCCTGAAATTCTTCTATTCATTGAATTCAAGGGCTTTGCCAGTATTTGTCAGAAAATAAGTAGAACCTCTTTGCATTTAGTCAATGACATGAAATGATGAAATGTTAGTGTGGGATTTAGAGTCATTTTTTCTGCAATGACAAGGAATAGGTGGTGCAATGATAACATTAGATTACCAATTAAACAAGACAAAAATGTGAAGGAACACAAAACAAATCTTCAGAATCATGATAGACATTAATGACTTCCAATAGTATATAAGAGAAAATGAATGCAAACAGAAGGGAGAATGCTTGTTGTTGATTTCTTTCTCCTTGTAGTCAGGCTTTACGGGGTTTTTAGGGGACTCTATGGAACAAAAGGCTTTCTTCTCCTAAGGAAACCCTTCACAAATCTTAACATCTTCAGAAAAGCTTCCCTCAACTTGCTGTTTCCCATGATTAGAATGAATGAATGGCTTGATGGAAAAATGACAGTTACTATGTCACCAATCATCAACACTAATTTTCCCTGGGGAATCAGAGTGCTAGAGGTCATAACAAGAAAGACTGGGTAGTACACAATGAGGAGGAGCAGAAAGATGGTCACTGCCTTTATGGCCCTCATGTGGGCGTCTGTGCTGGGATCTCTGAACCCTGTAGCATGCAGTTGAATCTGCTTGGTGTGTCTAACTAAGGAGAAAAGTAACAAGAAAAATGAGATCAGGCAAAGGATAAAGGGAACCATCGCCCCCAGGTTCAGGGTTAACTGTTTGAAAGCACCTGGAATTGTACTCGCTTTGAATGCCCAAGTAATGTTTTCTTCATGACTGACCTTGAAAAGTTGATACCACATACCATTAATTGGAACGCTAATAGTTAAGGAGATAAGAAAGGACCCCAGAAGAATCGCAAGGATGACCTTGTTGATCTTTAGCTTCAGCCAGAAGAAAAATGGGTGGGATATGTTGGCTATCTTGAGTAAATAGAAGATACTGAGGCAAGAAGTAAACCAGAGACTTGAATTATTGGCAAATGTCCAGACAGCATCCATAATGCTTTCTAGCACATTAGTGTCATATGTACCTGGAAAGAGCAGTATAAAGAAGCCATCTAATGATATTACACACAGCAAACAGATTCTGGAGATGGCCAAGCTGATCAGGATGATGTCAATCAAGGAAACATCTCTTCTTTTGAGCCAGTCAATGCAGTTAACTAGTACAATGAATCCATTTCCCCAAATCCCTATGGTCAATTCACCAGCAATTAAAATAATATATATTGCCTCTATTGTACTTGGCATACCAGCAGAGACTTCTGATTTTGAATATCACTGATGATGAATTGACTTTCAGCTGACCAGTGAAGAACAATGTATCTGTATACCACTTAGACCGTGATATAATTGTCTTTCTCTCTCCTTTTTGTCGGCTGATGAAGATAGCCAGTCCTGCTCTGGGCTAGAGCTGCCTACAGACTTCAATGATTGGGGCCAGTACTTTCCTTTGGTGTGGTGCAGTGATGACAGAAGGGCTCTAGGATGCAAATGGAAATGGATCTGGTTTCTTAAATTTGCACAATCTTTCTTATTTTAAGCTCTGTATATGTTGGATTTGTCAATCAGAGCTGTTGACCAGGAACTTCAAGAGGTATCAATTGCTTGGAAAATATGGCTAGAATTTAATTTGCTGGCCGACTATCCACCCTTGTTAGTATATTGGCAAACTATCGCTATTACAGATTCTAGGTTTAATGTGTTAGCTTGTGTAGCCAGTTTACTTGCTTGGTTGACTAAAGCTTTAAACAAATTGTTATTAACATTAAATGAGGCTTAAATGGCACAACTAGTGGGAATGTAGAGGAAAGAATCTAAGGGTTTAGGAAGATAGATAGGAGTATTAAGGTGAATTTATCATATGGGAACTTCACCTTCTCCCCATTACATGACTTAAGAGGGCCAAAAGGACACTCCACTCACTAGGGCATTGAGAAATACATTATTGAGGTAATTCCCAGTGTCCTCAAAAAGCTGTGCAGTGTTGTCTTCTCAACAGAAGGTACAACGAGGGAAATAAACATGAAATTGTAGAGTTGTCAGTAAACGGGACACAGAAAATTCTGGTGTAGATGTTAGGGTTTCTTTTTTTTTTTTTTTTTTTTTTTTTTGAGACGGAGTCTCGCTCTGTCGCCCAGGCTGGAGTGCAGTGGCCGGATCTCAGCTCACTGCAAGCTCCGCCTCCTGGGTTTACGTCATTCTCCTGCCTCAGCCCCCCGAGTAGCTAGGACTACAGGCACCCGCCACCTTGCCCGGCTAGTTTTTTGTATTTTTTTAGTAGAGACGGGGTTTCACCGTGTTAGCCAGGCTGGTCTTGATCTCCTGACCTCGTGATCCGCCCGTCTCGGCCTCCCAAAGTGCTGGGATTACAGGCTTGAGCCACCGCGCCTGGCCCTGATGTTAGGGTTTCTTAGAGTGTTCTTGCTTTGTACCTGAATGTAGCTTCCGTACATAGAAAAAATAGTCAAAATACTGGTCACTTATCTTTAGAATGGAAACAGATCAGTCTGAACTGTGAGGAGGACAAAGAGCAAGAAACTAAAAAGCCTCAGAGAGATGCAAGACTCTTCAATCTGAACTGAATAGTAAGAATACATGCTCTGAATTTTCTTAGCTCTATTTTTTGGCAGCAGGTGTATTATAAATATTAGTATGTTAATTATGTACACATTGGAAACACACAGTTTGTTTTATTGGGACATACTGAAACGTGTCATTGGACGTGATAGAACATATTTGAAATAATAGAAAAAGGCACACAGCAATACAGTTTCCAGAAATTTTATTTTAAAACTAATATTAAATTTTAAGGCAATATTAAATATTGCTTATCAAACAAACACAACAATACAAAGTACTTAATGAGATAATGTGTCATATGTTCAGGGTTTTAGACAAAATAAAGGGATAAAAGTTAATCTTGCAGATTTTTATGAGAAAGTAAATGGCTATTGTTATTCTATTAAGTGAAATTTGGGGTTTCTTTCATGCCTCTCTCTGAATTTTGTTTCTGAAGAAATATCATATTACACAACTCAAAAATATGCACTGTGCTTATCATGACCAAAGCCATAAAAGAGGTAATATTCTGAGAAGGACTTCACTAAAGAAATTGATTCGCAGCCAACTGACAGACAAGGTTGCACCATGTTTACATCTCAGGGAATGCAGTATTTCATTATTTTGATTAAACTTTTGGAATGATAAAATTTTGAGGAGGGGAATAAAATGGGTTGAAGGCTATTATTTGGAAATGGAAGTACTCTGGGATCAATTTATAATGTCCAGAAAAGATGAAGATGAAAATATATCGTGTAGGAGGGTGATTAATAACTGACATTTTAAAATTTCTTGGTAAACACAGATATAGAACCCAAGTTTGCCTTCTGAGTCATGGTCTTTTCCCCTGAATCCCTTCTTTTCTTTAGCTGTGTGGAATATTGATCAATTTAAGGAAGTTATTTTGCCTATATTCAAATGTAAATGCAAATATGCTATAGTATATGACCAGAGTTACCTAAGGGCCTGTACTTACTATAATGCCACCCTTTTATCTTTTCTTGCTATAAATTAAACCCAAATGATCTCAATTTATTTGACACCATTGAATATGTATGTGTGTGTGTCTGTGTGTTTGTGTGTGTCTGTGTGTGTGTGTGTTTACGTGTTATTTGCCCTTTGGATTTAATCTTAGCATTGAGAAGTTAAAGAGCGATCCTAGCTGACAGACTTTAACATGTCTTTCCACTGCAGAAACACTTTAATCTAGAATGTCAGTTTATTGATTATTTCTGTCTCCACTAGAAAACAAATGAAATACTGGGAAACTTATGACATCATTTTCTGCATGTCTTTCCATGAGAAGTGAGCAAACACAAACCTACTTAGGCAGATGTTTCTTAAATTTCATTTTCTTTCCTTTGTTGAAATACTATTTACCATTCTTTAGACCCTTACATCTTTTACAGGCATTTGTCCTCGAATTACTCCACTGATTATTACTGATCAAGGGAAATGACTACTCTTCATATTTGTAAATCAAGAACAGAATACTGCCGTACTGTCCTATTTTCTGACAAGTTATATTTTGAATAGTTGCTGACTTTATCTCCCACCCCATTCTAAACTCTTCACTGTATCCATTGGGATCCCTAGTAAACCATTAGCAGAAGTCTTATATTCTCCTTCATTTCTCTAACAGTTCACTTTATCTTCTTCATTTGAACTCGAGGTTCTGGAACTTTTTTGTTCAATGGACTCCTTTTCCAGTCTGACGCATGCTATAATTTCAGAATAATGTTTTTAAATGCATGAAATAAAAATATTTGAAATTTATAAGGAAACCGTATATATATATGACTTTTTCCTACAGTATGAAATATATTTTTAATATAATATAGGAATTTATGTGCTTTTTAATTGACATAACAAAAATATCTGGCAGAAAGACTAGTGATGAAAGTAAATGATAATAGGTGGCACCTGTAACAACAAAGATTTTTGACTTCCTGAAGTAAAAAAATTACAGAGACTGCTAGTATGATATGTGCTTGTTACTTACATTCAAGACAGAAGAAATACTAGATTAGGATTAGATAAGGATTAATAAAAATAAGTATATAATTTGGTGCCCCTCCCAGTTTATTCACCACTCATGTCCATGGATCTTTTTATTTTAATACTCTACAATTAAATCCTGTGGTAGCTGTTTTCTCTCTCAGATCCTCATAGAAGTGGGTCTAAAGCTGGGGTGGGTGGGTGTTTTTCTTTCCCTCTCTTGTAACTTCCAAATTACTCTGTTTCCTTTTTTTTTTTTTTTTTTTGGAGACAAAGTTTCAATTTATTGCTTAGGTTGGTCTTGAACTCCTGGCCTCTAGCGATCCTCCTGCCTTGGCGTCCCAAAGTGTTGAGATTACAAGTGTGAGCCACCGTGCCTGGCCAGATTATTCTCCCTCTAATCCCTCATAAGACATATAGTAGTTCATTATCTCCTGTCATCACTCTATACAAAACATTACCTTTCCTTGTCACAATCATAAGCCAGTCTTCCTTCCTTGATTTTTGCTTTCTACCTGAAATTAAATAGTTAAATATACTAAATTTTACCACCATTCCTTTTGTTAAAAAGTTCCCCTATCTTTTTGTTGGATGAAATAATCTTCTATTTTAAAAAAATTCATTCAGTAATCTTGTTTGTTGTATTTTTAATTTTTAAAAATTTAATTATTATGGACATACAATAGTTGTACAGATGTATGGGGGTACATATGAACCTCATGAAAACAGGGCAATATAAAGACCTATGTTGGGAACGGATGCCTTGAATGAGAAATATGCATGTTTCTTTAAGAAGAGGACAGTCTTAATAGAGAACTATATAAATTCGATAATTCAAGCATAAAACACTTCATAGCATATTGGGAATAGTCTTGTTTGTCTGAATAAAAATGGCAAAGAAATAGGATATTTGGGATCCATGAAGACAAATAATTTATTTGCTAAATAACAAAGTTTGGACAAGGCTTGAAATATATGTAACAGTTAAGAGCTTCAGCTTTGGTGACAGACAGCTGGAGTTGAAGCTCATTCTCAGTTTTATTAGTTGTGTGATTTAGATTGGCCGAATCTTTTCTTTCTCCAATGTGTAAAACATTGATCATAGTACTATCGATCTCATAGAAATATTATTATACTTAAAGTCTTGCATTTAAAATACTTAGAATAGTTCTTACCATATATACTCAAAACAGTTTAGGTGCTATTATTATTGAATTTTTTGGCATTCCATTCAATAAATCATGATTCTCTTATCTAGTTGTTTTACTATAGAGCCTTTATAGTCTTAATTACAATTTCCTATCCAGAATATTTGGCCAAATTTCACATTTTATGATTTCCATAGTTTGAATATTTGTATTCTCTTCAAAATTCATGTGGAAATGTAATCCCTAATGCAACAATATTAAGAAGTGGGACCTTTTGGGAGACGATTATGATGGGTTTGTCATTATGATGGGATTTAAAGGCCTGAAGGGAACTAAAGAGGCCTTTTAACCTTTCCCCCCTTCTGTTACGAAAAGATACAGCATTCAAAGTTCCATGCTGGAAGCAGTGACAAGGCCTTCACCAGACACCAAACCTGCCAATGCCTTAGTCTTGGACTTTCTAGCCTTCAGCACTATGATAAAACAAAACTCTGTTATTTATAAATAACTCATCTCAGATATTTTTTATAGCAGCAAAAGGGACTAAGGCAATGCCAGTCACATGAAATCATAAAATATGGCAACATAATAATTATGGTTTAACAATTTATTTTCTATTACTCACTGAAAATGTAAACAAACTTAAATAGACTTAGTTATTTTTCTTCTTCACATGTAGTTCTTTTTTTTATTCAATATTAATGCCCAGTGCATCTCATAATATTGAGGGACAGGTGACTATTTTGTTTCTGTCTGCAATGGCATAAATAAAATGATTTTAACAGTATTTCAACTTAAACACAATAAGATATTTATATTTGACAACACATCTAAATGTTGAGGTTAAGTAAAAATATTCTCAGATATATAGGTTTCAGACGTTTACTAAACATAGAACTTTTTTCAACATTTTGGAGGATGTATTAACAAAAAACTATAATGGGGTGAGGAGATACTTATATGACATGTGGAATAAAATTTATAAGAAATTTTGTAAGGCTTACGATGTCAAAAATTTTAAAAAATTGAGAAAAGAACATCTGTATACTATAAAAATCTTAAAACTTCAGTTGTAGGTACAAGATCAACACATAAAACTCTTCAGTGTTTCTACACACCAGCCATCTGAACAGTGAATATAAAAGGTAAATTAAGAAAACAATTCCAAAATAATGAAATAACTAGGAATAAATTTAACCAAAGAAGCAAAATACTTATATACAAAAAATGATGAAACATTGCTGAAAGACATTAAGGAAAACACAAGTAAGCAGAAAGACATTCCTTGTTCATGGACAAGATGACTTGATATGGTTAAGATATCAATACTAAAAGCAATCTAAAGATTACTAAAATTTCTATCAAAAATTTCTACAGACTTTTTTTTTCAGAAAGAGGAAAACTAATCCTCAAATTCGGGTGAAATTACAAGGGAACCCAAATACCCAGAACAATCTTTAAAAAAGGAGAACGAAGTTGGAAAACTCACGCTTAATTTTTTATTTTATACATATACACATATATACACACATATATACATATATATACATATATATGTGTGTGTATGTATATAATTTTTTTTTTTTCCTGCAGGCCTCATTAAGGCTTCCCTGAGCCCTGGGTTGGCTTCTGCCATGGCAGATACCAGAAGCAAGCCTTGTCCCTGTTCACAGAAGATTCTAGCCAGATCAGGAGCTGAAGATAGCAAAAGAGGGAGAAGTCTAATCCACAGTCCCAGGCCCTGGTGAGTAACGTCTGGTGTGAGGAGAAAGTCGATGATATGGAAGGGCGTTCCAGTCCTGCTCCTTCTGCTTGGAAGTGGAGAATCTGGAGAACCTGGGGGATGCAAGATGGACAGGCTGCTCCTTGAGAACATCCAGCCTCCTAGAGAAGATGGTTGCTGTCAAGGTGAGTGAATGAACTCTACTATGCCTTGTTATTTTAAAGCCCACTGTCTGCTTTCTGAACTGATAATCAAGAGTCCATGTGTGTCTTAAAGAACAATTGTTCATTGTAGTAGAACCCACTGGGAGAAGTCTCTTGGCTCAGGAACTCCATCTGGCCACAGCTGACTGGGTAGTTAATTGAAAGGGAAATGTAAAGGGTACTGAAAGAGGAATGTTGCTCTAAGAATTTATAACAATAACCTTTCACTCATGTATACTTGGGGCTAGAAGTTAAATTCTATATAGCCTAAATCATTGCAAACTGAAAAGTGTAGCTTAAGGAAGTTGAGACTACAAGTGACCCCAGTCAGCCTTCACAAAGTTAAACTCTTTCTGGCAGATGTCACTGTAAACCTGACCTCAAAGAATTCCCACAGATAATATTCTAATAAAACTGAGTTCAAAATAAAATCATAAAACATGTGAGGAACAAGGCAATATAATCAAAAGTTAGTACAAACAACAAAGTTAGTCATCAGAGCTACAAACGCAGCAGATATCAGAATTAGAGCTTATGCAGTCTGTGCAAATGCTAGGGAAGATTCTTTTTCTTTCCCTTGTTTCTCAAAGCAAGTATTACTAAACAGATATTTTTTCACGTGCCTCATCTTTTATTGTATTTTTCATATGACATAAATTATTACATAGAAAATTACGTAATACTACAAGATAATTAAAATTATCTATAATCCCAATATCCACAGATAACCTCGCCATCCAGTTTATGTATAAATCTAATCAAAACAGATTTTTAAAGTAACATGCTTATTATCTGTCATCTATCTATGTTGAGATCTATTTTACAATATATGTAGAAATATGTTAACAATGGTTAGTTGAGTACTGCAAATGTGCATAATCAATTTCTTTATATATTTTTGTGTTTGCTAATTTTAGATGCAACAAAACTGTGTTTTATGGTAGAAAATGGAGCTTTTGATGAAAGGAACAGGTATCAGTAAAAATGAGTTAATATCGGCAAAAATAGCAGAAGAAACCATAAATCAATATGAGATCATGTAAATTACCCACTTATTTCCCCAAACATTACAAACTAAATTACTTACTAAATAGCAAATTAAGAAAAAATCAACACACATATGGCATAGTGTTAATGTATAAAGTAGTCACAAAATTGGTAAGAAAAACTATGACATGAACAAATAAGGAGAAAACAATGAACAATTCCCAAAGTGTATATGCTGTTGGTTAATCCTGTAATAATACTTAACTGCACTAGTAATCAAATATATGTGAAGTAAAGATATTTTTGCAATCAAGGTAATGACATTAAAAATAATAACCTGCTTGATTTCGAGACTGGAATAAGATTGATATTTTTTCACTATTAACATATAGGTTTACTACTTCTACAGAGTAATTGATCAGTTCTGCAAGGAATTTATCAAATTTCTCCCCATTGGAATTTTCCTTAAAAATAATTTACATATTACTCTGTCTATATACTAGTCATACTGGACCTTTAGTTTCCGGAATACCCTCTACTCCTTCTTGCTTCAAGACCTCGACATGATACTTTCCCACCCCAAATTTCTCCTCCTTTGGCCACCTTACTCCTACACATTATTTAGATATCAAATTAAACCATTAACCTCAGTGACATCTTGTCCATTCCCATGACCAGGTCAGGTCAACATCCTATAGTTTTTCTCTCCCAATATCATAAATATAATTGTTTAAGTTAGCTAGCTATTCATTTGTTTTCCATTAGAATATATTTTCCATTATATTGATGTCTTGTTCACTACTCTGTCCTCAATACCTAGCCAAGTTAGCATTCAAATAGTATTCATATGAATGAATAGTATTCATGCTCTATAATACTCATGTTTATTTCTAACAGTGGAAAACTGAATGCAAACAATATGATAAACATTAAGTATATTATTGTATATTTGCAAGGGGAGTTATGTACCCCTTAAAATGATTAGTATAAGTAATTTTTGAAAACATGGGAAAATGAATAAATTCCACATTATCAACATAATCTATATGGAGAACATAGTTATTTTTACAGTATAATTTCCAATGAGCCAATATATTTGGTTGAAATAGGCAGCAGCATTAGGTTTTCTTTTTCCTGTTATCTCTTTATCTGTACATTCTAAACACAATAGTTTAAAAATATAAAAATATTGATTTGGAAACCTGACATAGAAAATGAATTAAGTCCTTGTATTTGGAAATATTTCACTTATTAGGCCATAAGTATGAGATCAAGGCACTTTTGGAAGTTGCCAAAATAAGTCATTGAGTTTATAACCTGAGTTGGACATAAAATTTCACTTTAAAACCCAAAATTTGAAACATGTCTGTGACTGCAAGTTTGTGTAGATGAACGTGTGTGTGTGTGTGCGCGTGTGTGTGTGTGTATGAAGCTCTAAGACAGAACATTTCATATTTCACACAGATTCTACCCTGTGTTCATCTTGTGTCCTTTGGTCAGGGACTGCGTTGAATCTTACAGCCTTTGGATCTATGCTTCTAGAAAAATCTTCACTCAACTTTAATTGGTTCATAATCTGCCTTATCTCAAATCACTGATTATGAAGAGTATATTTATTTCATCAGTGTTTTGATCCCATATCCCTCAACTAGACTCTTGTTTCCCTAGCTATATTTCACAGAACTACGTCTATTACTCTGACTACTTGCTACACATCAAACATACACCAGTAAAAGAGGATGTTAGATTTTAAAAAATGAAAAAAATAACCCTTTAGATAATTAAAATAGCATGCTGAAAAGAAGCACCACCATCTATCCTCACTTCCATGTTCTAAATGTCAAGATTGATCTAATTTTCTTTCTTTCTTTTTTTTTTTTTTTCTTTGGGTTTTCTTGGAGAATAGGTGTCCTTGCTTCAGAAAAGTCAGGTAAAGCACAATAAGAAGTCTTATTTTAGAGCTTATTCTCACCGTTATAATCTTTACAGTGAATAGTCTCCAGGCTGATGGTTTTCCTCTAGGAAGTTTGTAGGAAGAAGTTGCAGGGTGGGGAAGCTGACTAAGCCATTGAGTTTGCATGTGAGATTAAAATCTCCTCAAAGACGAGATTCCCTGAAACGTAGTCAAAACAATTATGGAAGATTTCAGTGATCTTTAATGACACAGTTAATAAAACAAAGCAAGAATGCAGTGCAGTGAAACAGATCTTCAAGGATTTATTCATTGGATTCTTTTCATGGAACATCCATATCTCCCCAAGGTGTCTATGTGGCTCTGAGATTTTTCCTTTTCTCACAGCACTTCAATTGCTGTAGTACCCTCAAAGAGGCTTTCTTTAGCTTGCTGTTTCCTAGAATTAAGATAAATGAGTGACCCCAGGGATAGATGGCTGTGGTTGTCATTCCAAACATAAGCAACAGTTTGTTTTCTGGCACAGTAAAATATGATACTTCTATGGCTATGCCTATAAAATACAAGATAAAGAGGATGATGAAAGATATTAAAACTTTCATTGCTTTCACATGAGCTTCAGTGTTGGAGTCTCTCAGTCCTGTCACATTTGATTGCATCTGCCTGTTGTGTCTCCAAAGGGAAATGATCAACAAAACACTTGTAATTAGGGATAGTGTAAAGAAGAAAATGACTCCCAGATTTAGCAAAATCTGTTTAATAAAGTATTCATTTTTAAATATGTTGAGACGCCAGACTGTGTCATTCTTCATTTTAAGATCATTAAGAATCTTCGCAATATATGCAAAATTAAGTAAGCATGAAATAAGTAAGAATCCCATCAGAAGGGGAAGAATCCTATTTGTTCTACTCTTCAACCAGAGAAATACGTAGTTGGAAAAATTTGCTATCTTCAGGAAATAGAAGATGCTGAGGCTGGTGGCAAACCACATACTTGATTGATTACAAATTACCCAAAAGTAACTAATATATTCAATTAGGTTACCAGAAACATATATATCTGGAGAGAATATCCGTATGAATCCATCTGTAATTATTAGCCATATCAGAAAAATTCTAGAAATAGCTAAGCCGGTGAGAATAAAGCCAATTGTAGATAACTTATTCTTGGCACAGTCAATGCAGTTTACAAGTCCAATAAATCCATTCCCTAAAACCGCAAATACTGACTCACTAATTACAACAAAAATGAGGATGCCTTCCACTACACTTAGCATATCTGCTAATTCTTAATATTGCTTCTGTTACGTCTATCTTAGATTACCTGCAGAACGAGGCATATATTGGCTGCTTGATGGAAGTATGACTTTCTTCTCATTTGTTATATAAAGACTTGAAATTGCCCCAGTAATGGCTTATGATGGAATTAGAAATTTCTCAGTGAAGACCTTTCCAAATATATCTATAAAACGTAGCTAGTCTAGAGAATGTTCAGACTGAATGCCTATCTATAATTTGTTAAAATGCAAATGAAAATTTGTGTTTCATGGATTTTACATGTCCTCCTGAGACTACTTTACATTTAATAAATTGAATTGTAGAGAAGGAGTGCCAAACATATACCTATAGAATGTAATGCAAAACAGAAACAAAATACTTGACTTTATCTTTTAAAATATCAAATCATTATTTATGTCATTTATAATCAATTTATATTTGTAAAGAAAATACTATGTAGAAGTGAAAAATTTAGCCATTGTAGATACCTACTCTAAATGATGAATTTAATTTTTAATTAAAATTTAAGCTCAACTCTGGGTATGACAAGTTTCAAAAATGTGTCACAAAACTCTTGCTGTTGTTTTATACTCATGGTTATTACACCCTTGAATGCAGAAGATTATGTTGACTACCCTTGACATGAAAGGCTCTTAGGAATAATCTCTTCATTTAACACATTACTGTTTACTGGCACCCATTCATTTATCCAACAAGTATTTAGTGAATATCTAGATACAACAAACTCTCCCTTGATCTTTGAGGGAATATAGTGGTAGTCAGAATCTCAAAGCTTGTGTGATTTATGGAGTGTATATTCTAATGAGGGAGGCAGGAAACAAGTAAATCAACATACTGATCTAAGAATTAAAAGTGAAATTAAAGGTGAAATCTACCATTCATTGAGCTTTTATTATATTCCTAGCACTATGTTAAGTATCTTAAGGTCATTTTTTTCTCATCTTAATTTCATAAGCCTTCAATCCTTTTAAAGAGGGGCTATTTTTTGTATTTACATTAAAAATGAATAAACTAAGGTTTACAGAAAAAAAGACCTTCTCTCATTTATCCTGGCATGACTACCATAAATAAAATTGCACAATGATTTCAAAATAAAGTTAAATTAAGCATAGGAATAGACTACAAATGATAGAAAATCAAAATAAACCAACCAAAAGCAAGTAGAAAACTTAAATTCTCATGGACTGTGCATATTGAAATTGACAGATAAGAATATGTGTAGATAAATTAGCTAATGTATATACTGTTTACAAAACACAAGATGAAATTTCAGAGAAGAGCAGCAAGAGACTGTCAGAAAGAAATGGGAACATCTGGGGAAAAACTTCTAGAAATGGAGAATATAATTATATAAAATGTAAATGAACTAAATACTCCAAGTAAAAATTAATATTAACAAAGAAGAATTTAAAACTCTGACCATATACTGCTTACAAGAAACACAATATAATATATAAAAAGAAAGCTTTAAAGTAAAATTATGGAAAAATAAGTCATGCAAACTATCCAAAATAAATCTCGCATAGTTATATTAATATTATATAAAGCAGGCTTTAAGGTAGGAAACAGCATTAGAGAATAAATGGGGAGTGTACTTTATAGTGATAAAAATGCTCAAATCTACAGAAAGATAGGGTAATCCCAAAAACTTATGAGCCAAATAAACTACCAAACATTTACAGAAAAGGAAAAATAAGACAAATCTATAATCATCATGAAAGACTGTAAAATATATAACTCAATAGCTTAGCCTAGAAACATACCAAAAATCAATAGATGGAAAATATATGAAAAAACAATTGACAAACTTGTGTTCAACAGTAAAATAACTCATATTCTTTTCATGTGCACATAGACTGTTTTTATCAAGAGTGATCATATGTGAATCCAAAAGAATATCTCACAAGTGTTGAATGTTCTCTGAATTCAAAGGAATAAAATTAAGTTCAATAATAAACAGATAACTAGAGAAAGAAACAATTTACTAAGACAAAAAAATTCTAAATACTCAAGTCAAAGAAGAAATAACAAAAATTAGAAAAATATTTTTAACTAAATAATACAGGTTGTGTATCCCTTATCTGAAATGTGTGAGACCAGAGCACTTTGGATTTTGGATTTTTTTTTCTTTTTTTTAAATTTTGGAATATTCACATCATACTGATTAAGCATCTCTAATTCAAATATTTGAAATCCAAAATGTGCCAATGAGCATATCCTTTGAGTGTCATGACAGAGCTCAAAGAGTTTCAGATTCTGGAGCATTTCAAATTTCAGATTTTTGAATGAGGGATACTCAACCTGTAATAAAGAAATGACTTATTAAAGTTTACATAATCCAATTAAAGCCATTCTTTGAAGGAAGTTTGTAGCCTTGAATGCATCTTTTAGAAAGGAAGAAAGGCTAAAAACAGATGAATTTTGTTTTCATCTCTAGAAGCTAGAAAATTAAGAGTGAAAGAAAATTGAAGTCAAGAAATTATAGTAACAGCAGAAATCACCAAAAGAAAAGAATTAGGTACAGTAATATGCTAATGTTGGTCAAAAGAAAATACAAATTACTACAGTCCTTTGAGATAACAAAAATACAGCCTGGGTGTGGTAGCTATGCCTGTAATTTCAGCAGTTTGGGAGACCCAGGTGGGAGAATCACTTGAGCCCAGGAGTTTGAGACCAGTCTGGGAAACATAGTAACACCTTATCTCTACTAAAAAATAAAAATAAAAATAAATAATTTATCAGGTCATGGTGGTGTGTGCCTGTAAGGGAGGCCAAGGTGTGAGTATCGCTTGAGCCCAGGAGTTTGAGCTTATAGTGAGCTATAATTGAGCCACTGCACTCCAGCCTGGGTGACAGAGTGAGACCTCATCTCTCTCTCTCTCTACATATATATACACACACATATACATATATATATAGTATAATGTTATATAATGTACAGTTACATATCCTTGTGTATAATCTTTTATGATAACACAATACTGTGAACAGCTTTATACAAAATTTCATCAAGAACACTTATAAGACAATTACAGGCTAATATAGACAGAATGTAGATGCAAAAATTCCAAACAAAATGTTACCAAAATAGAATCCAGCGATATATAAAAGAATAATTCATTATAACAAATCAAGATTTAAAAGCTAATCGTGAGATTAAAATGAAATAATTAAAGATATAGTCAATTAACACAAAAGAAAGCCAGAAAAAGGACAGGGGACCAAAAAAGTGAGATAAATGAAAAACATAGAGCAAAATGCAAGACTTATAGCCAACTATACTGATGATTGCATTAAATATGATTTGACTAAACACTTTAATTAAAAGATAGAGATCATCAGAATGAATAAATGAAAGCACAATTAAATGTTATGGTTGAAAGATAAAACATTAAACATAAAGGCAAAGATAGATTGGATGTAAAGGGATAGAAAAAGCTATACTCTGGAATTTGTAACCATAAAAAGCAGGACTAGTTCTATTCTCAAAGTGGCCATATTATCAAGACAAGTAGTAGAAAAATAGAGGGATGTTGTATAATGATAAAATATTCAATTTATCAAAAATATTTAACAATCCTGAAGGTGTATCAGACTAATAATTGTGACTCAAAATAAATAAAGCAAAATCAACAGAATTAAAGCAAGTGATAGGCATAGCAAAGATTTAAAAACCCCTTTGCTGTGATCTGCATGTGTCTCCTCCACAGTCTGTATGTTGAAACTTAATTGCCAGTGTGCCAGTATTCAGAGGTGGGTCCTCTAGGAGGTAATAAGGGCGGACCTCTCATGGATGAGATTAATGATCTTATAAAAGAGGTGTGAGGAAGGTGTTCATCCTTTTTGCCCTTTCACCTTCTACCGTGTAAGGACACAGCATTCATCCTCCTGTGGAGGATGCAGCAACAAGGAGCTACCTTGAAAGCAGAGAGCAGACTTCAGGAGACATGTTTATCTTCAACTTCCCAGCATCCAGAACTGTGAGAAAATGAATTTCCATTGTTTATAAATTACCCAGTCTAAGGTACTTTGTTGCAGCAACACACATGGAATACAGAACTCTCTCATGGTAATTGTTAAAAGAAGTGAACAAACACCAGTAAAAATATAGAAGATGTGAACAACACTTTCAAGAAACTTGATCTAGTTTACCCTTCTAGAAAAGTATATCTAACTGAAGACCAACCATTCTTTTCAAGTGCATGTGGAACTTTTGCTAAGATTAATTGTACTCCAATGAACAAAATAATTCTCAATAAATGTCTCATTTTTAAGATGGATGTGATAGCCTTTTGTGACTCCCCACATTTAACCCAAAATGAAAGTTCCTTTTTATAGGAAGGGAGGAAGGGAGGGAGGGGGAGGGCCAAATCAAAAACGTTGTAATTCTTTCATGTTTACATTTCCTAAAATGCTGAAATATTTTTGTGAATTTTCTAACAAAATCCATTTTTGGATGGCATTTCATTAAAACTATAATTTATGAAGAATTGGCATCCCTTTGTAGCTAATTCTAAATCCTGACATATGGTATACCTCTTGGATATTCTTTGGTATAATTCACACAATGTTTCATAATTTTAACAAATATAGTCCTTATTTATTACTTAACAGATTTCCCTAGCTATACTTTTTGTCACCTTTAGAATTGGGAAAATATTGTTACAATACATTTTCTAATGAATTTTGGTTGAAATGTAGGAAAACTCACGTTATCTGAATATTTACTTACATATGGTATCATTTCTAAATTATTTTAGAATCTGAATACTATTTATTTCTATTTCTCATTTCATTCTGTTTTGGTAGACAATAGTACCATCTCCACATTGTTCTTCTCCACCTTCAAGAATGGTAATAAAAGCAGGAGGCTGACTTAGGCAGCAGGACTCCTGAATTGCTCTGAACCCTTACACAGTACTCTGGTGAGTGACCATCAACACTTTTCTAGTTCTTTGTTTCCAAGTATTGGGGAATGTTTTCCCAAGTCCCTAGTATGCTACTTCTATATGGCCTTTAATTCTTTTTCTACTCATTGCTCACATTTTCTTAAAAATTTTCAAGAAGTCGCTTATTGTATTAGTCTGTTCTTGCACTGCTATAAAGAAATACCCGAGACTGGGTAATTTGTTAAAAAAAAAAAAAAAAGGTTTAATTGGCTCAT